TGGTTGGATGCTCACTGACCTGGGTTATGGCTGGTACCCTTTCACCATGGTTGGGACGCTCACTGACTTGGGTTATGGATGGCGCCCTTTCACTATGGTCAGGGACGCTCACTGTTGTGGGTTATGATTGGCACCCTTTCACCATGGTCAAGGATGCTCACTGACCTGGGTTATGGCTGGCACCTTTTCATATCTTTTCAGTGTGAAACACTGTGAGATGAGGTCAGCAGCCTTTTCCAGTGTTGTTTCCTCTGGGTCAAGTTTTGGTGGTAGCATTTTGTCCCACGGAACAGTTTCATAAGCTCTAGGGAATTATTAAATAAGGACACTTTTAATAAAGAATACACAAAGCACATATTCAGAACAGGGTAGGAAGACTATCCAATTTACAAATAAATTATGCCTTTTAAAATTGATTTTTGGGGCAAGCGTATTGATCAGGGAGGCAATTTGTATTCTCCCTCCAACCTTCCAAAACCAGTCCCCCAGTTTTGTAGCAGGACATGCTGTGGCTTCTACTTTCCGTCTATGTCCATTCCCAGGGCACTAAGCAGATTCTGTGACAGACCCAACTTTTCTGCTTCTTGTGGACCCTCTCAGTCCCTTCCCCCTTCTAGGTCATTCCAATTCCAACCTTAGGTACTCTGTCATACCTCACACCTCCTGCTGGTGCCTGAGCCTACTCTCCCCACCTCTTAGCTCCCTTTCTTTTATTTGTGGACTAATTGGTTTTGTTTCTTTTCTAATTTTTTTCTTATTGTCTGTTCCTCTTTAAAATGAGAACTCCTTGAAGAGTGGAGAACTTGGTCTGTTTATTCACAGACGATCTCACAGCCTAGGCCATAGATATGCTGATATGAGCCAGGATATAAGAGCCTCTCATCCCAGAGTCTAGCTGAAGCCCCAACCCCATCAGCTGAAATGCAAGAATTTGGCACAATTAACCTTTTCTGCAAAGGCAGCCTACATAAATTAAGGCTTCCTTATACTTTTATATCGACATTTCATGTTCAGATAAAAGTGAACCAAGCTTAAGGTTTGAATGCAAATGCTCCTGTAAGACCTTATGCCTTCCCCCAGACATCACCTGAGCCCCTCAAACAAGACTGGATGCAGTAAAAGCTAAGCTATCTTCCTGTAGCCTCTGGGTTTTATCAACTGTAGTACTGCGAGGTGCTTCTGAGGAGTTGTAATCCTGTAATCCCATTCATTTGCCTTAGGAATCCTTTAAAGACAATGACTTCAAACCCCACCAAAGTCCTTGACTATTGTAGAATGTCGAGCTCCTAGACTCCTTTAACGAGGAATGCCACACTCTGGTATACTTTGCTTTCAGTGACTTTCGTAGAGAAGACCACATCTATACTATCAAGTATGTCATTCCTCTAAAAGCCCCTTTCTCTTAGACCTTGTACTGAAGCCTATGTAAATGATAATTTTATTAAAACCCAACTCCGCTTCATAAACTGGCTAGTCCTGAAATTCTTTTCTGTATCTACATAATGAATCCAGGGTTTTCCAAAGTCATGACCAGTAAGTCTAAGAGAACTCAATCTGCTGAGGGTGACAGTGGGGTGTTGCAGGCTATTTGATCACACTGTGAAACTCTGAGATTGCATTAATAAGATTAACCTTGGATCAGGGGCAGAGTCAGCATTGAGTTGAAAAGAATTAGCCACAGAGAGTACAGAGGACCCAGGAAGATGGAAAGAGATGCACAGGAAGGAGTAGGGAGGGACTTGGAGATTAGTGGTCCCTTTTGGTTTAGGACTAGTGGAGAGGCGCTCTCTCACTGGGTCTCCAGCCAAAATGGAAGGTCAGCTGGTTGCTTCTTGGCTTCTCTGATCTAGCAAGTTTTCACCCCAACAACTGACTCCCGAGTCTTTATTGGTAAAAAGAACAACACAGATAAAATGACAGTGGAGAGTTTGACCTCTTGCCTCTGCCCTACAAAGTGCTGGTAGAATGATTCAGTGAATGGTCCTTTAAGCTTTCTCCACTTTTGCTCTCTCTGACGTTGTGTCTCTTTTCTCCTCTCTTCCCTTCCCTTCCCTCTTCCTCATTACCCTCTTCCTGACTTTTGGTAGTATTGACATATTTCTCCCTCCCTCAACTTCTGATACAGTGTCTTATTTCCTAGTTAGCCCAGGTTTGCTTGGAATTCATGGTTATCCTCCAACCCAGGCCTCTGAGTTCTTTGATTGCAGGTGTGAAAACATGTCCTTTTCAAGTCTTGATATGCTTGTTATTTAGCCAACACAAATGACTTACTGTGTCTGTTTGATGTGTTCTGAATTATTAACATGATCGAGGTCATTATTGACAATGCACCATTAAATATTAAGACATAGACTTAAATTTTTTTTCATTGGAAAAGAGCTTACTTCTGTGTTGAGGATTTGTAAAATGAATCCTTTAGATTATATTTCTTGTCTAGCTGGGCAGGTGGTTCATCATTATCCTACAAGATAGAAACAAGAAGTTAAAACCGACCAAGCATGAATAGAACTGCCGAATTTTCCTATACACTATGTTTTCTGGATTTCCTCATCCTTCAAGATGTACATGATGACTTGAAGCATGTGCATGTATTCATGATTTAAGATCAACAAACTCAAATTCCTTAATACATTCATCTCCAGCCAAAATTATTCCTTGAGTTGCTGAAGACACTTAAAATCTGATTTCTTCTTAAAGTCCCCACAAACAATATTTCTAGTTATAGATACCATAATATGCCTCCTATCACCAGAACATATTCATCTTCGCTTGTATCTTTATATTGTATCCTCTTACCAACATCTCTCCATTTTTTTTCTATACTTACCCCATACCTACTCTAGTCTCTATTTCCCTATGGCTTACTTAAACTATACACATAAGTAATTTTTTATTTATGTGCCTGGTTTATTTGCCTTAGCGTAAGATTCTAGAGGTTATTCATGTTGTTGCAAATAGCAGACCTATATTTATGGCTGAATAACATTCTATCATATGCACATATACCCAATTTTCTTTACCCATTCATTTGTAGATGGGCACTATGTAGTCAGTACATTTTTTTCTTTATCATTTTTTTATTTACCTAGGCAGGGGTCACATCACTGTAATTCCACCACTCAGACCATGAAGATAAAAGAATCAGGAATAAAAGGCCAGACTCAGCCATATAGCAAATTTGAGGTTACCTAGGGCTACATGATATCTGTCTAAAAATATCAATACATTTAATTATAATAAAAATAATTATCCTGTGTATAAATTCTGTATTTCATTGTTTTCTAAATTAATATGTTTTACTCTTTCATATATTTTGTTTGATTTAGTCATTTTCTAACATTTTGAGATTGAAACATATCAACTCCCTTTTTTGTAATCTAATTATGTAAGGCTAAATTTCCTTCTTAGCAAAGTATTAATTGTATGATACCAATTGTTTAATTTCTTATAAAACACATCTACTGGGAATTTATTTTCTTATTTTTTCCTTACTCAAAATCTTCTTTATTTAGCATTCCAATCTATTCAATATATTTGGGCCCTCAAATATATCTATGTTCCAAACTTGGAAAAGGGTAATTTACTTTGCAGATGGAATTAAATTGCTCTTTAAGTGACCATAAAGTGAGAATAATTATATTGGACATACTTATGGCACAATTTAATCACAAGTGTCATGAAATTGAAAGACTGAGGCAGAAGACTACACCCGCCATTCTTTGTGATGAGAGGATTCACTCCATCAGTGCTAGCTTTGAAGGTGAAGACAGATGCCTATCATAAGCCAAAGAATACAGGAAGGTTATGCAAGCTGAAAAGGTGAGAAATGGATTCTTTTCTAGCAACTTTAGAAGGAACACAACCTCACCAGCACATTGATTTTTAGCTTAATGGTAGGTAGCCACTCTTTACTTCTGAACTCCAGAATAGGTAGACATTGATGATCATTTGATATAGCAACAACAGAAGATGAATGTAGTCTTCGTCTGTTTTTGTTTGTTTTTCAAGACAGGGTTTCTCTGTGTAGCTTTGGAGCCTTTTCTGGAACTTGCTCTGTAGATCAGGCTGGCCTTGAACTCACAGAGATCTGTCTTCCTCTGCCTCCCGAGTGAGTGCTGACCATAGTATTTATCCTTAAATTATTTAAACACTTAAGGATAAACTCATCGTATTTTGTCTTCCAGTTTCTGATGAAAAATTAAAGTATTCTAATTTACTTTTATCTTATTTCAAGTTTTTTTATCTCTGGTGTTGGCAATTTGAAAATGATATTCTTGTTCTCTATGAAAAGTTCTTTATCCTGGCTAGAATTCAGTGAGTCTTTTGAACTACAAATGCATGTCTTTTGTTTGAGCTAATGAAATTTCAGAAATTATTTCTTCAGGGTTTTTTTTCTTTTACTTTTTTTCCTCTTTTCTTAAAACATTCAAACTCCAATTAGTGTGATTGGGGTCTTTTCAAACTGTCCTCACAGTACATGATGTTTTTGATCAATTTTTAGTTTTTTACCCTTCTTTAAATATGTTCTCATTTGTTTTCAAAATGTTAATATGCCATAGTCTTTCTGTTAGCAAGCCTATGAGTCTTTAAGATATTGAAGCTTGTGGTTATATAATTCACATTTTTTTAAAAAAACCTCATTCTTTTCCTCTGCTAAGATTTCCAGTATTTTCATTTTTTTGTGAGAATATTTTCCATTACATCGTTGGTATGGATAACTTTGACACACCTGAGAAGAGAGACCCTCAATTAAGGACTTGCTTTCATTAGATTGGCCTGTGGGCACATCTCTAGGGCATTTTCTTAGCTAAATGACTAGTGGGGTCCAATTCACTGTAGGTGTGTCCTATCTCAGCAGGTAGCCCTGGGCTGGAAGAAATGCAGCTGGTAGGAGCAAGCCAGGGAAATGAGCAGTGTTCTTCCGTGCACAGCTTCGGTGTCTGCCTCCAGGTTTCTGCTGTGTTTCTGCCTTCATCCATGGCCTGTGATGCAGAAGTGAAAGCCAAACAAACCCTTTCATCTCTCAAGCTTCTTCCAGTTTGTACTTATTATGTATGGCAAATATTTATTTACCAAATGAGAACAACCATTGAACGTGTAATGTTGCATTAATATCGCTACCAAGTTTTAGTGGTAGGCCTTCTCTTCTCTTGACAGTGTGCCAAGTTTTTATGTTTTCTATGTTGCATGATGGTGAACATTGTAAATGTTATATTGTAGAGATACTGTATTCAGTAATATTCTGCATGGGTGGGCTAATTGTCAAAACTGGGATTTGTTTTCCTCTATTGATAAAGGCTCTGAGCTTGGTCTAAACAAAGCCCGAGCAAAGACTTAGCTTGTAGTTCACGGAAATAACTGTAGCCCCTGCCCCCTCTCACGTGTGCTCCGTTTCTCCCTGGACCGATGACTAATCAGTGATGCACTCTTACATATTGAAACCCAAAGAAAGGCCTTTCTGCAAAAGTTTTGACTATTTCTGACATCTGAAAGCATTCAGCCTTGAGGACAAAGACCCAGAGAGAAATTCAGGCTGATCTTATCTTTTGCTTCAAGTTTTAATCCCGTTTTGAAATATGCCTGACACTGTTCAGTCACCAGGAGGTGTCAAGTAAATGAACATGTATTTTGTCAGGGTTTGTAGCTATAATCTGTGGGAGAATTAATGTTATAACCTTACTCTGCCACAAGGAAGCAAAAAAATTAATAATTTTT